TAGTTCAAATGAATGGACTATCAATAAATATGATTAAATTAAATCATGAATTAATTGAAATTTTTTTATCTGAGGATATATCCACAGAACTAAAAGAAGATATTTTAAAAAAATATAGTAAATAAAGAAAATAAAGAGAGTCCAAATACGGACAATGTATATAAATTTTCTAAAGTCCAAAGAAGAAAGCAAAATATTGCCCATACTTCAAAAGATTTATCTTTATCATCTCTTAATAAAGAGATACAAGAATTTAAAAAGGAAGTAAAAGACTTAAAGCAAGAGAATAAATATATTCTCTCAAAATTAGAAAATGATAACGAAAATACAAATACCATAGTTCAACATAATGAACATAGTGACAGTGATACTGACACTAATGCATTATTACAAATACTGCAACAAGTTACCTCTAAAAAATGGTATATAAAAATTACTTTAATAATAGCAGAATAAATGTTTATACCAGATCTTATAGCTCTGGTCGATAGTGATGCAGATCTAAATTGCATAAATGAAGGTATAGTTCCTTCCAAATTCTTTGAAAAAACTACTCAAACTTTGAGTAGTGCAAATGGTAATCAATTATAAGTAAAATATAAATTACCACAAGCACATATATGTGTTCAATGGACTTGTATACCAACTCCTTATATTTTAGTTAAAAACTTATCCCAACTTATTATACTTGGGACTCCATTTCTGCATAATATTATGCCAATTAGTCAAATTAACACTACTGGTATTCATGCTAGATATGAGGATAAAGAAATTATATTTGAATTTATTACTTATCCTCAGATAAGAATGCTAAATGAAATCAAGAATATAATCTTAAAAGAAAACCAAATAAATTTTCTTAAAGAATAAGTTGTATTTGTTCAAGTTGATGAACAAATAAAGAAACAAAAAAAAACTTAATAAGTCAAATTGAAAATAAATTTAAACTCACTGTATGCAGTGATGTACCAAATATATTTTGGAATAGGAAACAACATATTATTTCTTTACCTTACATTGAAGGTTTTAATGAGAAAAACATTCCGACAAGGTCAAGACCCTATCAAATGAATCAAGAATATCTTGATCTATGTAAAAAAGAAATACAAACTCTTATAGAGAAAATTAATAACGAAGTCATACTCTCCTTGAAGTTCCACTGCCTTTTATGTGAATAATGCAGCCGAAAGAGAAAGAGGTGTACCTAGATTAGTTATAAATTATAAACCTCTAAATACTGTCCTTAAATGGATAAGATATCATATTCCTAATAAAAGGGATTTATTAAATTGCATTAATAATACAAAAATATTTTTTTAAGTTTGATTTAAAATCAGGTTATTGGCAGATTCAAATAGAGGAAAAAGATAAATATAAAACTGTCTTTATAGTCCCATTGGGACACTATGAGTGGAATGTTATGCCATTTGGGCTTAAAAACACCCCTTCTGAATTTCAAAATATTATGAATAAATTTTTTATTCCTTATAAGAATTTTATATTATCATATATAGATGATATCCTTATATTTTCTCATAGTTTTGATCAACACATCAAACACTTAGAAATTTTTAGGAATTTAGCTATAAAAAATGGGTTAGCTATATCTGCCCTAAAAATAAAATTATTTCAAACTCAAATTAGATTTTTGGGTCATAATATAGAAAAAGGAACTATAATTCCTATTGATAGAAGCATTGAGTTTGCATCAAAATTTCCTGATGAAATAACTGATACTAAACAGTTACAATAATTTTTAGGAGCTTTAAACTATATAGCAGATTATTCTAAAAATCTGGCACAAGATATAGTTCTTTTATATGATAGGCTTAAAAAGAATGTTAAGCCTTGGACTGAGCAACATACTGCTGTAGTTAGAAGAATTAAACTTAAAATTAAATACTTACCTTGCATTCATTTAACTAATATACACTGGTTCAAAATAGTTAAAACAAATGCTTCTAATATTGTTTATGGAAGAATATTAAAACAAGTAGATCCTCAAACCAAGAAAGAACAATTAGTTCGATTTACTTCTGGTAAATGGGATAAAGCTCAATTTAATTATTCTACAATTAAAAAAGAAATGCTTTCTATAATCAAATGCTTTTCAAAATTAAGAGATGATATCTTAAACAAAGAATTCTTACTAAGAATTGACTGTAGTTCTGCTAAAAGCATTATTGAAAAGGATGTTAAAAATTTAGTCTCTAAGCAAATCTTTGCTAGATGACAAGCTGAATTAGCTATGTACCAATTCAAAATTGATTATATTAAAGGTGATTATAATCATCTTCCTAATTTTTGAACTTAAGAGTTTTTACAGGGTACAAATGAGACAGAGTAATCCCTCCTTTTCAGGGAGGGGGAGAGGAGGCCTAAGCCCAAGCCCAAGTTCAAGCTCAGGTCTCATAGGCCAAAATAATTTTGAAAGGAGTTATACTCCGCCTTAGCCCAATTCATGGCGTACTATTATGAAGAAAAATAATTCTTCTAGTCCATCTCAGGCCTTTTATAAAGACATTAATGATTTCATTGCACAGGAAAATAATCCTAAACCTTTTACTTCTATAATAAAAAGAGAAGTTGAATGGACAGAAAAGTCCATTTCAGATGTGGTTCTATATTTAGAACCAGAGGACATTTCTTTAGTGAATGATCCTGAAAAAATAAGGCAGAAATATATGCATGAAACATTCTATTCAATATTGTCTCTAAAATCTAGAGCTTGGATGAAAACTCTTCTTATACAGAAGGGTATGAAAATTACTCACTTTTGGGCTAGCGAGAATCATAATGTCCCGCCAAGTTTCAGTAAATGTATTATTCAAGAAGTTATACTTCCACGAAATTGGGCCATAAACCCAAATCAAGAGTTACCATTGGTAAAAGCCCAAAACTCTAAAGATATATATTCCTTTAATTACTGGGACTATAAACAGGCCTTTCATGAGGTGTTCTTATATCAGAACCCAAAGAACAAACATACTTGGTTGATTAAACTTTTTCCAGAAGCTCTTCAAAAGGGCATCCCAGCTTGGTTTTATAAATAGTGGGAAACTTATGGCATTGAAATAAGTATTATTCTTGAACCACTGACGAAGTTATACTCATCTGAGAGAAATTGAAGTGGAAACAAAAACAGAGAAATGAAAGAGGACTTACAGAGTGAGACGGCCGATACTCAAAATATAATCTTTATTATCCAAGATATAGTACAGAGCTAGACACTTAATCAACCACATATAAATATCAATCCAAGATGAGTATAACTTCGTCAGTGGTTCAGGAATAATACTTATTTCAATGCTATAAGTTTCCCACCATTTATAAAACCAAGCTGGGATGCCCTTTTGAAGAGCTTCAGGACAAAATTTAATCAACCAAGTATGTTTGTTCTTTGGGTTCTGATATAAGAACACCTCATGAAAGGCCTCTTTGTAGTCCCAGTAATTAAAGGAATATATATCTTTAGAGTTTTGGGCTTTTCTAATGGCAACTCTTGATTTGGGTTTATGACCCAATTTCATGAAAATATAACTTCTTGAATAATGTATTTACTGAAACTTGACGGGACATTATGATTCTCGCTGGCCAAAAAATGAGTAATTTCCATACCCTTCTGTATAAGAAGAGTTTTCATCCAAGCTCTAGATTTTAGAGACAATGTTGGATAGAATGTTTCATGCATATATTTCTGCCTTAATTTTTTAGGATCATTCATTAAAGAAATGTCCTCCGGTTCTAAATATTGAACCACATCTGAAATGAGCTTTTCTGTCCATTCAACTTCTCTTTTTACTATAGAAGTAAAAGGTTCAGGACTATTTTTCCGTGCAATGAAATCATTAATGCCTTTATAAAAGGCCTGAGATAGACTAGAAGAATTATTTTTCTTCGTAATAGTACGCCATGAATTGGGCTGAGGCGGAGTATAACTTCTTTTAGAATTATTTTGGCCTATAAGACCTGAGTTTGAACTTGGGCCAAAATACCCCCCATAGTGGACATGCATTTTTGCATGTCCACTATGGGGGGTATTTTCCTCTCCCCCTCCCTAAAAAGGAGGGATTACTCCGTCTTATTTGTACCCTGTAAAACTCTTGAGTTAGAAAATCAGGAAGATGATTGTAATCACCTTTAATATAATTAATTTTAAATTGATACATAGCTAATTTAACTTGCCATCTAGCAAATATTTGCTTAGAGACTAAATTTTTAACATCTTGTCCAATAATGCTTTTAGCAGAACTGCAATCAATTCTTAGTAAAAATTCTTAATTTAAAATATCATCTCTAAATTTTGAAAAGCATTTAATTATAGAAAACATTTCCTTTTTAATTGTAGAATAATTAAATTGAGCTTTATCCCATTTACTAGAAACAAATCGAACTAATTGTTCTTTCTTGGTTTGAGGATCTACTTGTTTTAATATTCCTCCATAACCAATATTAGAAGTATCTGTTTCAACTATTTTGAACCAATGTATATTAGCTAAATGGTAAGCATTTAACTTTAAGTTTAATTCTTCTAACTGCAACAGTATGTTGCTCAGTCCAAGGCTTAGCATTCTTTTTAAGCCTATCATATAAAAGAACTGTATCTTGTGCCAGATTTTTATAATAATCTACTACATAGTTTAAAGCTCCTAAAAATCGTTGTAACTGTTTAGTATCAGTTATTTCATCAGGAAATTTTGATGTAAACTCAATGCTTCTATCAATAGGAACTATAGTTCCTTTTTCTATATTATGACACATAAATCTAAATAGGAACATGTTCTACTTTCCCTGAATTCAAAAACTTTGCCAGCTAGCAAAACTGTTTATATGCCCAAAACTACAAAGATATTTGTATGTGAGTGCCATTCAAAGTGAACAATACAATCCCTCACTTCTTTGTACGTTCTATCGGACCATACATCCAATAGACCTCAAACACTAACCACGACTCCAAGCAGAATCAGATCAGAAAAGAAACTGTATTGTAGACTATTTACCAAAATGATATAAATTTCTTCCGAATCCTAAAACTGAAATGAAAAAAAAAACAGTAAAAATTAAAGAGCTTACTTGAATGTCCTAGCTGGAAATCTGGGTACAGGGCCACTTAAATTATTATAAGACAGGTCTCTGAATCATTAAGAAAACAAAGAAACCTCTTTAGTTAACAAATGATTGCACAATATAGCTCTTAAGTGTACAATAAAAAAGAATGGTTACTCACAGAAATGCTAGCGGTTTTATGTCAGCCAGAGAAAACGGAAATGCCCCAGAGAGGCTATTATTGTTAAGTCTCCTGTTATAGTTTACATGGAAATATTGTTAATAAAGAAAACAAAGCACATGAAAAGAAATCAAGTGATATATTGAACTTACAAGTATTCAAGGTTTTTCAAATTGCCAATAGAGGAGGGGATTTCACCACTGAGAAAGTTACTGGAGAGATCAAGCGTTTTGAGATTTGTGAGTTTTCCAATCTCATGTGGTATTGGTCCTGATATCATATTATTCTGTAGTAGACTACAAAAACACAAATTTTATAGTAAGTGGAACAAGCTAGGGTATTTATAGAAAATATACTACTACTACTACTTTAATAGCTTACACATTCTCAAGGTTTGTCAAGTTCCCAATACTTGGAGACAGAGTACCAGATAGATTCTGGCTTGGAGTTGCTCTGCACCAATACCATTTTCAATAATCAAGAATGAAAGCCCTTCAGAATTTCTGTATTGTTTTGTCGAGATTATTTGAAAGTGAGACTTACAGCTCTGTAACAAAATTTTCAGAAGAGCAAGTGATCATAGCCCAACTGCAAGGATCAACAGAGTCATGATCCCAGTTCTCAAGCACACCATGAGGATCCTTGAGAGAGGCCTTGATGCCCATCAACGCTTGAACTGAACCAAGCACGAAAATCCTACATTACCCATTTCATAAAAACAAGTGAAACGAAAAAAAAAAATGATTTTTTGAAACTACCTTCAAAGTTGACACCCTTAGGAGAGAGAAGAGCATCTGACGAAGCTAAAGAGCACAACAGAACCAAGAGATGGAGCCAAGCTTTCCCTCTATCTGCTCTCATTGAATCAGCAGAGTCCAAAACAGAGCTGCCCATAAATGAAAATCAACAGGAGATTCAGTTCATTGATGGGTTTTAACTCTTTTATTGTTGCTCTCCCTCCCCTCAGAGTTCTTTCCGTTGCGTTAACATGCCTGCCACCTATTTTGGCTAGAAATTGGCTAGAAAGAGAAAACGGGCACTGTTAAAAAAAAAAGAAGAAAATTATGCTTTTTGGAGGAGAGAATAAAGCTAATTGCCTAATTCTTATAAATTAAATTAAAAATTGAAAGTTTGAGGACAAAGATTTTTCTTATAGACTTGTAGTGGGGGCAGTTAAAGCACTTGCTTGGGAAGTGTGAGAATTTCTGTGACAAATTAAACAAATTGGAGGGAAGATACTGATTGGGAGGAGGGGGGGTTGTTCCCTCCCCTTGGGACTATTGTGAGCGAGAGAATAAAAGGAAATCTAGGAACTTGAGAGGCCAACATTCCTTTTGGCATTAGCCTTAGAATGAATAAAGAACTTTACTTGTCATAACATTAGGAGAATAATACTGACTTTGCAAATAATCACTTCTGGACAATTTTAAAATGTAGACATACGTGAATCTTGATCGTGATGAAGAAAATAGACTCTATGTGCTTGTGTTGACATATTAGTATTAGTTAGGGAGTTATTTGTAAGTTGTGTAGGGGCTTATATAAGCCCAAGAGATCTCATAATAAGATTGGGGTTTCTATTTCTACTTTTTGCAAATAATCACTTCTGGACAATTTTAAAATGTAGACATACGTGAATCTTGATCGTGATGAAGAAAATAGACTCTATGTGCTTGTGTTGACATATTAGTATTAGTTAGGGAGTTATTTGTAAGTTGTGTAGGGGCTTATATAAGCCCAAGAGATCTCATAATAAGATTGGGGTTTCTATTTCTACTGCTTGTATGTTAGTATCAAAACGATAAGAGATTGGTTAAACAGTTAACATTTCTCCTTTCTTTTAGAAATGTTGTCGGGTGATGTCATAAGGGCAATAACGTGGGTTGATGGGCCTGAGAGAAGGGCCCAACATGGATTCTGGTAGGATTGATCTATCTGATCACATACCTTCTTATTAACCAGAGCCACACATAATCCATGCTCTCTACCTATGTTTTGGATTCCTCATGGACCATAATTTGTCAATAAAATTTAGCTTGATAAGATTATATCACACGTCATGCATGGCAACAAAAGGCAGGCTCTGTTTTTCTCTTTAGTTTCTACCTTTTATGCTTTGTTTTCTTGCTTAGTATTCAGATTATGACAGAATTGCTTCCCATGCTTCCAAATATTGCCATATAAGAGAGGGCACTATCAAATTGATGTTTGTCTCAAAGGATAAGTGTCCCATATATCATCACTAGAATTTTTTCCACAAACAAAAACTGATCAATGTGATATTTGAAAGAGGGCCCATATCAAAACTAATGAGCCAAATAAATAAAGATGCTTAGTAAACCAACTTGTAAGCATCACTAATAACCAAAGATTAAAAGCATGTCGCCCTTAATGAAATTGCTAAACTAATCAACGACAACTTTTTTTGGCTTAAAGTGATGTAGGTGGGGAATTTCTTAGATTCCCAAGAGCCTATTATAAAGATGGACAAGTGAGAAAATAAAGAAAAGAATAGAAAAAGAAAGGTGGGGATGTGTGTATGAGGTTTTGATTATACCGTGAAAGACCAACATGTTTGAGTATGCTAGGAATTGATTTAAGATTAATTCAATGTATATGTGTGAATATATGAGTGCAAATGCACAAATCATGCACAAAGAAGAAATCTGGAAAAATGACCAGCTAAGAGTTTATATATTTTTCACACCGATACAGTAAATATCTTGAAAAACTCAAGCAACCAAAGTTGTAGGTCTCTTCAATAGGTTTCCAAAAAATCTTAGATCACCTCATTCTGAGGTCAAATGTGAAAGTTACAGCCAAAATACTGAATATAATTTACATAAATACAGAGTAGTCGACTACTACTCATTGTAGTTGACTAGCGGGGGTTTTCCTGGGAACGCCAAGTTTGATTTCGGATCTGATTTGTTTTAGTTTGACCCGATAATGTGCAGGTATACACATTTTTTCTGAGTTGTAAAGAGCTTTTCACAAAATTTTTAGCAGCAGTCACCCCCTCTCTCAAATCCTAAACCCTAGAGCCAATTTTAAGTTCCTCAAGGCGGTTTGAGGCCTGACATCGAGCAGAGGGAAAGATCAAGGGTTGTAGCTAAGAAAAGGAGTTTACACACACGTTCAGGAGATCAACACCGTGATTGAGGCAAGATCTCCTGCATCCAAACCTTACTCATAGTGTAGATCTTGGGTTATTAAGTAATATGGATATTTTGATGCTTAGATTTAACTATTTAACATGATAAAAAGAGGATTTTTGATATAAAATCTTAACCTGATGTTAGATCTACATGTTTTGCTATTTGTTTATAATAGAAACATGATCATGATCATTAAAGGAGTGTAGATATTCGTTTGTATCTTGTTTTCTATGTGTTAATCATGCTCAAAACCCTAACCTTGTGATGTAAAGAGCTTACATGTTAATTAAGTCTGATTAAACCCTAAGTTTGGGGTACTTTGGTTCTGTAAATGTGAATAAATAAAACTATATAAGTTTCAAGCTTAATATGCAAGCATGTTCATGCTAATTTAATCGATAACTAGGGTTATGTCAACTTCTTAACTAATGAGAAGATTAAACCTAATTAGTTGAATTAAGGGTTTAAATAATCATGGAGATGGTTCTTTTATTTTGTTATTACTTGCTTTGTACTATATTAAAGCATGATAAACACATGACGATTGCTAAGTGTTGTATGTACACGGGTGTGTGCATGTTTCTGCTTAGTAGTCGACTACCAAGAGTAGTAGTCGACTACTAATGTCCAGTTTGTTCTATAGAAATTGTCTGATTACAGAGTAGTCGACTAATGTATAATATAGTCGACTACTAATACTGATTCATATTTTACGGAGTCTGAGTAGACTCAGTGTAGTCGACTACTAAGCTTAATAGTCGACTACTAAGGTTGATCTTCCTAATATTGTGTTGTTTTGATTTGAAATGCGAGCTCGAGGCCAGAGTTGCATAATAGTACATATGTGGTCATAATTATTCATGAATAGTGTCGTAGTATATGTGTTGGTACCCTAGAGGGGGATTTTGGTTAAGTATGGTTTCGAGTACACTTTTCCCTTGACATCGTATCCGCACGAGTGTGCGCTGAAGTTGGTAAACCTAGGTTATTGTATCTGCACTAGAGCACGTTGAGGTTGGTGAACCTATGTTATTGTATCCGCACGAGTGTGCACTGAGGTTGGTGAACCTACGTTATTGTATCTGCATGAGTGTGCGCCAAGGTTGGTGAACCTATGTTATTGTTGTTTTCGTCGAAAGTTGATCTATTGTGGAATTCATTATATCTTCGATTGATTACAACGAATTCAAAAGGAAATAGTCTTTTTCTAAGACTTCTTTTACACAATAAAAGGAAAATTACAACTCTCTAGAAAGTAACACAGAAATTGTTTATCTATTCCTGTTTTGTAGGACTTTGCTTGTGCCCGGAGTGCTTTGACTCGTGGACCACCGATTCACAGATCGTGAGAGTCTTTGGTATTCTTCCTTCGTTTAGAAGCAAGAATAAAAATCAGTGAATATCTTATCAAAGTAAGATGAACACTCATCTCAAGATTAAGTCGAAGCTTAAATCTCAAGGAATTATCAAAAGGCTCAAGTATTCTGCTCTCTATGCTCTGATTTGCTCGAATCCCTAGATCAAATGGCCCTAGGGGGGTATTTATAGCCCTTGGGACACTTAATTGAAAATGCAACGTCGTGAGGTAATTTTGCATGCGAGACAGTGTTTTCTGTCTCGGCGGCCGGGACAGTGTTTGCTATCTCGGCTTCCGAGACAGTAAAGACTGTCTCGGAAAACCCAAACTGCCTGATGGTTTCTTCTGTAATTGTTTCCCCATGTTCTAAAATCCGTTATTTTGACGGTTTTCCACGTGATTCTCGTCCACGATGTTTTCCACGTTTGTAATCAGTTGGTGGACACGTGTCATGCGGTTATTTTGAATATTTCAGAGTTGTCTCGCGTGCGAGACAGTCAACATTGTCTCGCATTCGAGACAGCCATCACTGTCTCATACTACGAGACAGTATATTCTGTCTCGCCCAACGAGATAGTAAATACTGTCTCGCACAGTGAGACAGACTATACTGTC